AGCCGCTTCCGAGTCCCTTGTAGACTTCAGAGCCGTCGAAGTTGCGCATGTAGATCTTGGCGTCCTTGGCCGGCGGCACCCTCTCGTTGATGTGCAGCGGCGGCGGCCGATGCGCTTGATACTGCGCAGCTGGTTGTTGTTGCGGCGGATACTGTGGCGGCGGCGGCACTGCTCCTTGAGCCTGGAATGGCGTGCCTCCTGGCTGCTGCCCAGCACCGAGACCACCGTACACACCAGGCGTCTGCATACCCATACCGAAGTTCGAAGCGCCGAGCTCATGCATCTGCATGCGTTGCATACCCAGGCTGCCGCCATGTTGTAGCGCCTGCCGGTACACGCTCTGCCCGAAGACTGCCCCCGTGCCGGGCGGCGTAACGGCCGCTTGTTGCTGGTGCGTCTCGAGCGACCTCTCCAAGCTTTCCACCTTGGCCGTGAGCTTGTTTATGAGGGCCGCGAGCGCGCCGGGGTCCAGGGTGACCTTCTCCTCTTCTAGCTCTTCGCCCCTTTCATGGGCGATGGGGGAGGCGGGGACTGCCTCCGTAGCAGCGTCTGCGTCTGAGCCGTTGCCCATTGGGCTCATAACCTGTTGTTCTGGGCACTTGTGCGCGAGAAGGAAAGAGTGAAAGTATATTTGAGGAGTTTTAGCTGGATTCTTCAATAATGTCGACTCGACACTTCCATAAAATCCATGGGGGTCTGGCTTCCGGTCGCCTGCACGTAGGCTGGCTTTTACATCAATGTCCAACATAATCATCAAATTATGAAGGTTATAGAGGCATACCGGTGTCGAAAACGAGGTGCACCACTGTAGCACTTCTGCGCTGCATTAATGCGCTCCTTGTTAGCTTGGTATTGCTCAGGCGAGTGTGCCATCTTGTATATTATTAACGTTATATTTATCAGGATCAATAAAAAATAATTTATTAAGTGAGCATTGTCTTATGGCTCATTTAGGCGGAGACAGAAGCCAACTGCTTAGTCTCACGGCATGACGGGCATGAACTTGGGCACTAGTCCTCTCCAAGCCAAAAGTGTGCAACAAATATTCATTTGTCCCCACCATCCACGTCCAGCGCTGCTACAAACTGATCCACCTTCGCAGAAGCTCCAGGAGTTTTGCTGACAGCACCAGTCGCCGTCGTCGTTGATTGCTTCCGATACGAAGTAGCAATTTTACTTGGAGCCACGAATGTAAAGTAGAACTGGTACGTGTCGCCAGCTTCCTTTAACCATTTAAGAAATTTGTTCAATGGCGCAGCTTTGATTCCATGGTCCGCGTTCAGGGTCATCTGCAACCCGTAACATTTGCTTTGTCCATCCCAGATGAATGCATCCAGCGCTCCAAAGCTTTTTGATGTTGGCCGGTAGTACGTCCAGCTCTCAGCTAGTTTTAGTTTGTCGAGAGCAGCGAAGCGTACCATTTCCATCTCTTTCGGAATGGTCACATCATCTAGAGTCGCTGAGCACAACGAGCGGAAGTGTAGCGTTCTCTGCATGTGCACGCTAAACCACTTGTGGCAGAGCAGCTCGTACACCTTGCCGCGTACGACAGCCGTACTTCCTGAATCGTCAACTTCGTGGACAACAGCGAATTCCAATACCCTAGCTAGGCTATCCCCGTGCACTTTGTCAATAACCGCCTCAGCGATGTGCATGGACACAAAATCCAAATAGAAGTTCGCGCGAAAATCAGCTTGGGTGGGAACCATTTCAAGGACGCAGTGACTATAGTCCTTTTCCCTCACAGCATCGTTTTTTTCTGCAATAGGAGATAACGTCCAGTGCACTGAATGAGGCGATCGCCGACTTTATTTTAGCCTCAGTTCGATCCATTGCCTGCGAGAAGACGAACCGAGGAATTCCACCAAACCTATCGTACCGCGATAACAACTCGTCTTTAGCAAGTTTCAATTCAACTGGAAGCAGCGAGTTGTAATCTTCCAGCTCCTCCAAGGTCCACGTCGGCATGATAAACGTTAACCCGTCCACTTTTGAGAAATTATCAATGCCGTCAACACCCGGAGAGGCAAACAAAACCGAAACTCCTCTCCAGCCTGTAAGTTCCGATGATGTTGCCTCGACAAGTCGAATCACATCGGGTTTGCCCATGAGCGCACGAACATCCGTTTTGTTCAACTCGACAAATTCCATTCTTGCTGCGTCGTATTTGACGTAATTCTTCTTATGGTTCACCACCAACTCGTACGAGGGAAGCCGCTTGACATCCTCTCGCTCACGAAGTATGAGTTGAAAGATGCAATACAGGAAGAATCGACTCTTCCCAATCCCTGGATTCCCCGTGACAACCAGGTTGGAATCCTTGCCTGGTTTACGTTTTTCGTCTATCTCGCTCGCACTAGTAGGAACGAACTCGAAGCAAGTTTTCGCGTACTGCACCAACTGGGCAAAGATCACAACATACGCCTCTCTCTCCACGATCGTTTTGAATTCCGCCTTTGGATGCTCCAGCAGCGAAGGGAAGTCCCTCATATCGAAGAATCTCTTCTCCTCGTTCACGTCCTCGCCCACTCTGCGCTTCTTCAGCGGGTGGAAGGACTCGGCAAACCACCCATTCGACGGATGGCGTTTCCCTCCCTCCGGAACCACCACCAGCACGTGAACAGGGGTGTTCATCGACTCGACGTCCTCTAGCGTGGGTACGAACCTGACGCCCTTCTTCGACAAGCCAACCAAGTTGAGCGGCGCTCCCGCAGCGCCCAATAGTTTCAAATCACTCGTGTCACTCACACTTTCCTTCACGTCTGGCTCCGTCAGCCACGCCCCGGCGCCTTTCTCCGTCTTCGCCAGGAAGAGTTGCAGTTTGTCTGCTTCGCACTTGATCGTGTCGGGCTTCTTCCCCTTGATCACGTCCTTCAAGTCTCCCACCAACTGATCAGCGTCGATGTCCACAGGGAACGCGCTTCCCGCCACCCCAACGATCGCACAGAGGAGCTTCACAATCTTTCCTCAAGTCCGGCGGATTCTGGAATGAGGAAAGAAAGGAGGGAGAGAATTTCCGTTCGTATTTAAGCGGATAGAAGTCTTGTCGCATAGACTGGCAGCTGGCGATACTATGTGGAGGTGTGGCAGATGCTACTTAGCGGTCGATTTCTGTTTGGGAAGCTCTAAACCTACTTTCTTTGGTAAATTACGGGAAGAAAAAAAAACTGCAGGCGTAATGTGCCAGAATATACTACTACTGTAACGTCCATGAGGATGGATTGGTGAATTTATATTATATATATAATAGAGAGGTTGTTCTACAGTACCAATCACAGTGAAAATCTACAGTGACTGCAATCCGATTTGACAGGGAAGTATGGAGACAAATGTGTTGTGCAGCTGTTATTTTTCCATAGGAGGACGAATGGACAGTGACAGCTCCGAAGACGAGGAGCTAGCGCTTTTTGCGCTTGTTTGTGGTGGTCGCCCGCGCCTAAAACGGTTCAACTTCGATCAGCTAGCTACAGCTCCCATGTGGAAATCAAAGATTCGCTATGCAAAAGACGACATCCAGGCGCTGATAGTGCACTTTCGTCTTCCCGATCCCTTTCCAACAAGACAGCGCTACCACGTTTCCGCATTCGAGGCTTTATGCATCTTCCTCCGCAGGATGGCGTACCCAGCCCGATTGGATGACCTCAAGAACCTTGTTGGACGTGAACCGGAAGTAATGTCATCGATCTTGAACTCCGTACTCGATTATCTCCACCATACTTTCTCTCATCTATTGCTATTCGGCTCAGACCGGCTAACGGAAGACACTCTGCAAGCCTACTCTAGAGCTGTCTTTGTGAAAGGGGCACCTCTTCACCTTCTTCCACGCCACTTGGGTTTCACCATGCCCTGCTGACCATGGTGTATGCTTCACCACCTCCTTTAGAAGGACGACATCACTTGATGGGAGAAAGCGAAAGGCCTTCTTTCGCTTTGCCTTGGTCGCTGTCATACTGCCTGGTACGATGTCTTCGTTAGCGCCTCTGTCTTCCCTTAGCATTGCAATTTGCAAACTCACCTCAGCCATTTATTTGGTGTCACCCGTCTCCACAGTGAGCGTGCCTCTAACGTACTTTTCCTAGAGACAAAATCACTGTGATCACCAACCCCTATACATCACTGCTCATCACTGCTCCTTTTCACAGTTTTGTTACTGTAGCACAACCTCTCTAATACCTGCTGTGAAGATTGATATCGCCAACGCTCTCGGCCATCCTACACAAACAATCATATTCTGGTGTTGGTAATATACTGAAGGAGTCTTGGTTTGCTTCACCTTAACTTTCGACTGGGTCACACTATTTCTTTAGCGATTCTGATACTTCGAAGCACTATACTCATCGACTTTAAAGCAGGAGAGACACTCGACTGTTCTTAACTTAGATGCTGTATTTGCACTATGCAGAAGGCAGCATGTAGGAGGAAAGCCAAAAAAAGTTTGTTGAAAATTAGAGAAGACGGATTGGTGCTACAGTACACAATGCAACCGCATTTTTGGATGTTTCTCCTGTTCTGTTAAAGTTATGCAAAATGCCCCAACCCCAAAGCACCTCTCCAAAATCATTCCACACCATTATTAATAGATGTAGATGAATGCACTGATTTCAATAAGCAGCTCGCCGGCTACGAGTGTGCGCCTGTGGGCATCCAAAGGATCTCTTCGGTTTTGACGAAGGCAAGCCAAGTTCAATTTGTAGTTTCTATGGATCCATTTCAAACTTAGAAACGAATTTAAGGATCCTTACTATTTAGTTTTAAAGCAAATCAATTCAAACACACCTGACAAAAACACTTTCATAATAATACCTACTTCTCCAGGATATTTGATTTAACGGAATAGTTCCTCTCGCAGATAGAAACTCAAATCATCCGTTTCTAAATATCAAACCTGTGGTCATAAAAGCGCAGACATCGATTCAACAGCTATACCGGCAGTCTAGTCATCACTCTTCTTGCGTCCCCGACGCAAGCCTCGCTGCCTATGTCTCCAGCGACTGCTACGACCGCCACCCCGCCCCCCGGGGCTATGACGTGCAACTCGGTGCGCGCCGCGGGCTCGTCCGTCTCTGTGACGCGTCCGACCGCCACATCCGCCATGGCGGCCGCGTCCCCCGCCGTGCGCGCGCTGTGCTCGGGCGCTGTGGCTGGTGTCGTGGCAGACTCGATGCTGCACCCTCTAGAGGTGATCAACCTGCGCATGAAGATCCAGCAGAAGCCCAGCGCCAAGTACAGCGGCATCCTGCGTTCCGTCCGCACCATCCTCAAGGAGGAGGGTGTGCGCGGCTACTTCGGCGGCCTCAGCACCACATTACTGGCTTCTCCTGTGTGCGCTGCAATGTATTTCGGTACTTACGAGACACTGAAGGCCACAGCTGCCCCACTTGTTCCCGACGAGCACCTTGGCGTGGTCTATTTCCTAGCCGGAGCGGCCAGCGAGGCCATCATTTCGGCCGTCAGCGTGCCATCTGAGGTCATCAAGTCGCGACTGCAACTCGGACGCAACCCCCGTAACGCCAGTGGAGGAGTCGTCAAGTATACACAGAACTACAGAGGCACCGCACATGCTGCCAAGTCGATTTTAAGGTCCGAAGGCGTACGAGGACTCTACGCTGGATACTCGGCGTGTCTGAGTGTGGACACGTTCTTCTCGGCGTTCTCGTTTCTATTCTACGAGACACTTAAGCACAGATACCAGCAGCATTTAGCGGCGAGCAATGTGGACCGCCAACTGAATTCTGTCGAGTCGCTGGCCGTGGGTTCCATTGCCGGAGGAATGGCAGCGTTTCTAACCAACCCACTGGATGTCATCACGGTACGGCTCATGACGCAGGGAAAGAACAAAAAATACTTGGGATTGCGGGATTGTTTGGTCAAATCAGTGAGAAACGAGGGCCCTGGAGTGTTGTGGCGAGGCGCATCGTGCCGTATTGTGTCAATCATGCCCACGACGGGCATCTGCTTCGGAGTTTACGAGACCATCAAGCACACATTCTTCGACGGCGACTTGGAGGATTTCGACCTCGACTAAATGTGCAGATTTAGAATCTAGAACTGATGGAGGGGGTGTATAAAATAGAGCCAATGAGTACGGAGCCTCAAATAAGAAATGAGTTGAAATGGTCCTGGACTAATTAGAGGAGATATGCATGAGTGCAGAGCTACAAGTTCCTTCTTACTGCTCTACGCCGTGCGCTTGAAGTGGTCCTCATCAATAGTCGAGTACACGTGTCCCTCACTAGTGAGATAGTTGAGTGCACTTCGCAGTTGCTGCTCATTCATCTGTCCATTCAGGTCGGCGTAAATCTGGTCGATCTTGAGGCCGCGGTCACTGGTACACGTGCCCAGGACATCTAGAATGGCCTTCTGTTCCGGCGAGAAGTTGGAGTCCATCATACCGTAGTCCATACCTCCCCCGAAGCCTCCCGTAGCACCAGCATTCGGCTGGTTCCATTGGTTCGCTCCCTTCGTAGGCGTGTTGAACGACGTCATCGTGACGTCCGCCTTGCCGTCGTTCAGCGGGCCCTTGGTATTGTAGCAGTGGACGTAAATCACCTCCAAAAGATGATGCGTCAACTCGTTCATGTCCTGTACGGGGACAACGTTAAAGCAGGACAGACTGGACTTGCCCTGGAATGAGCGCAGCTTGCCTACCACGCGCACGTAGCTGCCCTCCCTCAGGTCTCCCTCGCTGGCGTCTTCGTCGGCGTTGACGAAGTATTGGCAGTCGAAGGATCCAGAGCCGTCGTCTAGTTGGAAGCGCAGGCTCGTGGAGTGTGGCGTGAGATTGGTAAGCAGCCCCACGAGCCTCACAGTGGACACTTCTTGGCCGTCCAGACGCACTGCGTCATCGTCTCCCGTGTTTAGCGACTGTAGCTGCTTGATTGTCACGGGAAGGATGCTCTGTGCGCCACCGCTGCGCTTAGTGGGGGTGGACTGACTGCCCGAGGGTTGGCTGGACATGAAGCCGCCTCCGCCAGAGTAGTCGTCGTTGCCATAAGCCTCGTAGCCGCCGCCGTAGTTCATGATGAATTCACTGGAGAAAAAATGGCGCCAAAAAACGGAAGACGCGTTAATGATTCGATAAAGTACGATAAACGGAATAACTTATATTAATATAATTTTCACCGACCTTTCGAATTGTGTTTTTATGTCATTGAAATGTATAAATAGGTTTAAACATTTGTTTAATCTTTAAACCGAAGACTGGCAGATTTTTTGATACTCTTCGTTTCAACCCGGGTGTATTCCTTTCCGACTGGGGGACCGTCTGTATACTTTTCTTGTGGTATGGTTATGCGAAAGGAAGCTTCTCCATTAATTACACGTATCGTACAGATCATGCTTCGATCGTCCACTAAGTAACTGCGCCCATGCGATTTCGTCAAATGTAGAAAGCCGTTGACTGTCAATTGGTTTATCCGCCGGAAATGTATTGCAATCAAATAAAGCGATTGCATGAAAACTATTTGTTGTAATACCCAATTGAAGTGGAAGCTTCAATACTCAACTGCATCACTGATCTACAGAAATCGTTCGTACCCTCACTCATCAGCGTGTGCGTCTCTGATGGCCTTGGCTACAAGCTTTGAATCCCATAACAACCGGTTCGTCTTGAGGAGCATGATCGCTATGAACAACATGACGGGAGTCAACCTGGAACTTAGGTCCGTGATGACATACTTGGCAGAGCTGAACAATCTCTCAACGGCCACGGGTGTCCCCTTCAAAGTAGTGCAAGCCCTCATATGATGTAGTCTGCGTCATTCTCAATCGTTTGCATTCTTGTAGTCCCTGATAGTAGTTCGTTGTCTCGCCCGAAATAATTCGCCGAGGCTCCGGTGCTTGTCGAATCTCTATATAGAGTGACATGTGAAGTGACGTTGAAGTGAAATATTGCAATTTTAGTTTGCAATGCTCAATTGCATGAGCCCCGCGGATTGCAACACTCGATTGCACTTGAAAAGCTAAATGCAATGTAAACTGCAATAGAGTGTAATCCAAGAAGTCGATTTTTTTTCCCTTGCCTGATCACCACAATAAAATTATCTCTATCGTCTACAGTATCACCGAGTGTCCACTGAGCCTCGCTCTTCACAAGTCTTGCACTTGCTCGAAATTAATTTAATTGAGGTCGAAGGCCTGAGTAAATCAATTATTTGTTTAATTGCAACTCTGCAAAAAAAACATACTTTAGTAAACTGCAGTGTCCATTTGGTCGAATCGATGCTGGCACTCTACTACTATAAGGCTTGATGGTACTATGAGCAAACACTCGTGATTCCCACTGTTACACACGAAATCGTGATGTTTCGAGCGTTGTAGTGATCATTGGTTAGCTGTTAACGCGCCCGATCGTGAAAATAAATCCAAACACTTTGTCGAGGCTAATGCAAGCGTATCGAGACTGAAGCTTATCGCGATTGCAAGTGGGCTCAGTAACGTCAGGTAAGAGAAGTTCGTTAGATAAATGCAATTGGTAGTGATGTGGCCCCCATAGTTGGTCGATCGTGACGAGAACGAGGGTCGTACCTCATTATAAAATTAATGATTTATAAAACATTTTACTTTATTATGGAGGTGTCGATGCAAGGCTTGGCGCGGCTTCGTATGCGTAGTCGTAAGGTTGCAGCCCAACGTGGTGCTAGTCACGGTTGGCGACACGACCATTGTATTCTTATCTGTCAGAATCATGTGTATTAGTTCCTAAGCTTGAATTTGTAAAGTACAAGAGAGCCAAACCACAAAACGCACTGCACTCTACCATTGTACTGAGTCGACGTACAGGAATCAGTTTGTTGTGCCTTGCTGGCTTTGCTTCGCCACTAACCCAACGACAAGCTTCTCCCATCGGGCTTTCTTTTCTTGTACATTCGCCGAGCATCAGTGAGGAATGTACTTCAAAATGGAGTATCCGTGGCCTCTTTCTTCATTGACGTCGTCCTCCATAGCATGCTCTTTGCCTCGGAGGTATCGCCCGAGGCTTCGCCGTCTTCGGTATCTTTGATAGACCCACCAAGACCGGGTGAAGCCACAGTAATAACGGCTTCAGCTAGTGTCCACTGTTCGCTTCAGACGCCCTACGGAACACGTCCGTCTTGTCCTTGATCAGAGGGCTGCGTCGGATAGCTAAAAACTGTCTACCGCCCTACACACGCACTACTTGTCGAATATACACGACGGCAGGAGCCAAATCTATGGTTCGACGCAAAGCGGGGGACACGACCAGGACTTCACCCGACGATCACACCAACCTCTGCTCACAGCGGCACTAAACCTCCACCAGATAGCTCTCTTTTGCTTGCCTTTGTATTTTCCGCTTATTCGCCGCGCTCACCCACGTGATGGGCGACTCGACCGTTAGCACTTGCGCACTTCACGGCAAATCTACTACTGAGCTGCTTTTCCACTCCCCTACACATGCACCGCGCACCGACGCCCTGTGAGGCCTCGCAGCTGCTCACTGGTCACACAACGCTTCGGGGACCGCCGCCTGTGTCCCGTTTGTCCCACGATCTTCCGTCAACGGTCGCCAACTTCAAGTGGGTCGGCCCACTAACCTACGAACCCGCTAGTTCGCACTTCCCGCGCTTCTGCTCTCTTCAACTGTCCACCTTCGTCGCTTCCGTCGTCCTCGCTATTCTTGATCTGTCCACCGTCATCGCCATCTGTCCCCTCTACACTCCACGCTCCTAAGAGGATTTCATCCTCTTACTCTCTTCCCCTTTCCACTCGAATCGTCCCCGATTCGGGAAGCTGTTGTCCACTTCGTTCTGCTGCCGCGGTCGCTGATTGTACTGTCACCGCTGTCCGATCCGTTACCGCTCCACATTCCCCACGCTCTCTGCCTGTTCGCGCATTGGACTCGGCGTCGCTTCCGGAGTCACCACTGTTCGCTCTTTCTTCACCGCGCCCCGTGCTGATACGTCCTTCACTCCATAACTGTTCATAATCACGCTGGTTGATCCACAAGCGCTCTCCGTGTTCCCCGTGAGATCGCTCACCCACACGCTCAACTTCGAACTCCATGAGATAACGCCCAGTACGCCCTCGGTACCTTCGCCTTCTACACTCCACCACGGTCTCGTTTGGTAGAACCCTAGGGAGTCTTGGACGTCTTGACACGAGGCTGTCAACCCCGCGCCGCCCAAGTCCCGCGAACACGTAAACTCTAGGTTCATCTTCCTCGTGGGCAACGCGCCGAAGTTCCCGTTCCAGTTCCTCGAGTTCGTGCTGCTCTCGGCGTCGCGCCATTCTCGCACCGTGCGCTTCGTTCCGCTCACCAATTGCCCCGTCAACACGTCCTTCGCTCCCCTCAGTTGTCGTCTCCCCTGCATGAGGTGCTGATCCGTCTGCTCGGGCTCTCGTTGGGCTACCTGCTCTGCCGTCATGTGCATCCTCTTGCTCTGAGCCTCTCTGCGGGGCCCTCCTGACTCTCGATCGTGTTCTGCTAGCGATAGTGTCTTCGTCGGGCGCTGTGACCGTAATTCGTGTGCGCTTCCGCCCTCGTGATGGGTATCCTGCATCTCCGCCTGCTGGTTCAAGCTCCTCGTCGTCTTGGGTTGCTCTGAGCTCGTCGTTCGACCGGGGATCATTGTCGTCGTTGTCACTCTTGCTCTTTCGCTCTTCAGCATTGGCTTCGGGCCGTCTTTTCGGCGAAAGGCTCTCTGGTGTTGCAATCCTGGTGCCGCCGCTCGCTCTCTCGCCGCCTTCAACGACTTCAATACCTTCAGGACGCGCTATTTCTGACGCTTCCGCCGATTCTTCGTCTGGATCAAGATCTGCAGCCGCGATAGCTTCCTCCCTCAGATCCAAAGCTATGTCCTGAGCCATTGCGTCCAGCAGGTGCGTCGGGTAGTAATAACTCAGTAGGAACGAGCAATGAGTTACCAGTTCATGTCCTGATTCTAGCATCTGCACGAGGTAATTATCATAACCGGCTGCTTCCACGATCTTAGCCGGCCCTCGCCATCGATGCCCAAACTTAGTGACGCCTGGTCCTCTGGCAGGTCGGTAGACCCACACAAGTTGCCCAATTCGAAATTCGCTTCGTAGCCTCACATTCCGTTGGTTGTAGTACATCGCCTGTCGAGCCTGTTCTTTTTGAAGAGCTAACGTTGCCAATTCTCGTGCCTTCTGTAGATCCTGCATCAACACCTCGTGATACGCATCAAGACTGCTGTGGGGGTATTGTAGCCTGCTTCGTCGTAGCAAATCTGCCGGTGTTATCAATTTCCGCCCCATCATGAGCTCGTTTGGCTGGAAGCCATGAGTCGCATGCCTCGATGAGTTGTATGCGTACAACGCGCTTGGTAGGAAGTCATCCCAGTCGTCCTGCTGCTCGTCCACGTAAAGACTGATCATATCCTTCCAGGTTCTGTGGAAGCGCTCAACAAGCCCCAGCAAGTTAGGTCTGTACGGCACCGGGGTTGACTGCTTGATCTGCATCAATTCCAGTAACTCAGCGATCATCTGGCTGCCGAACTCACGTGCCCCGTCCATCATCACCTCGCGCATCGGGCCAAATACCAAGATCACTTTCTCCATCAGGAAGCGTGCGATCGTTTTTGCCGTGTGATCCTTTACTGCCACCGCCACTGCATACCTCGTGGTGTATTCGACTGCTGCAATTACGTAGCGGTTCCCTGCTGCTGTCTCGGGCAATGGTCCAGCCACGTCGACTGCCCATCGATCACACACGTCTCCTGTCCTCACGCTCCGCAACGGAGGAACTACCGCTCTTGGCCTCGCTTTTTTCGAACCGCAGTCTTGACAGGCTAATACCCAGCTTCCGACCGCCTCCCTCATCTGTGGCCACCAGTACAGGCGTTGTATCCGCTCGAAAGTTTGCGGGCCACGCAGATGTCCTGCCCATATACTGTCGTGAGCTTCCTTGAACGCGAGAGCCCAATAGACTGTGGGCAGCACCACTCTGCTCTCTCCGTTGTCGACTTCCGCCCTAACCAAGCCGTCTTCGTCCACAAACACTCGGTGACCTCGATACGACCCCTTTTCTTTCAAATTCTTCACCATCATCGACTTCTCTTGTTCCCGTTTAATGTCCTCGTCGGTAAACTGCACCACACCCATTTCTGCGGCTTCCACTCGGCGCATTATTGCAGCTCGTACAATGTCTATCTCTTCAGAAATATCGGACGCGTCGGTTTTTTCGGGGGAAACTGACACGTTGATCACTTGAATAGCTCCCGCTCGTCGTTCGCCCTCTTTGGCTGTTATGGTAGCCGCTATTGCCGGTTCGTCCGTCCTCTCATCGTTCGGCGCCGTACCGCAGCCCTCAGCTACCGGACCACGCGACAGTGCATCGGCTACATGGTTTTCTCTTCCGGGCCGATACTGGATATCGAAGTCATACTCATGGAGAGTCAAAGCCCACCGGTGCAGTCGCCCTGCGGGTTCCTTCGTCGCCATGAGCCATTTGAGCGCCACATGGTCTGTCACGATCGTAAAGTGTCTGCTGTAGAGATGAGGCCTGAACAACCGTACGGCCCACACCACTGCTTGACATTCGAGCTCCGAGATGCTGTAGTTCGCCACTGTCGGACTGTTCACCTTCGACGCATACGCCACCGGTTGGTCACCGTTCCCTTGGTCCTGCGAGAGTACAGCGCCCAGTCCAGTCTTCGATGCATCAGTCGTCAGTTTGAACGGCAAGTTGTAGTCTGGGTAGATCAATACAGGCTTCTTACTCAGCCACGCCTTCGCCCACGCAAATGCTTCTTCTTGAGGTGCCCCCCAACTCCACGCAGTACTCTTCCTTAGCAGACTCGTCAACGGTGCCATCTTCGCGCCAAATTCAGGTACAAATCGACGGTAATAACCAGCTAAAGCCACGAATCTGCGTACTTGCACGTCGTCAGTGGGCTTTAGGAAGTCCACAATCGCCTTGATCAATCGCTCGGTTGGTTGAATGCCTTCCGGGGTGAGGTCGTCGCCCAAATATTCCATCTTTGTAGTTGCAAAAGAGCACTTGGATGCCTTCAGGCTGAGTCCCGCTTCAGCTAGTCGTTCGAGAACTACTGCCAGCTCAACCACATGCTGAGATACTGTCCCCTTCGTGAAGGTAATGACGTCGTCCAGGTAAACCAAGCAGCAGACCCACGTGAGACCTCGCAATACGCAGTCCATTAGCCGTTGGAAAGTGCTCGGCGCGTTGCATAGCCCAAAGGGCATGCGTCGGAACTGGAAGAGTCCCCTTCGCGTAGTGAATGCTGTCTTCGGTTTGTCCTTTTCGGCTACTGCAAGCTGCCAGTATCCAGAGTGAAGGTCCAGACTGCTGAATCTCTGCGAACCATGCAAAGCTTCGAGAGTCTCATCCACACGAGGTAAAGGGTAGACGTCCTTGCTAGTAATGGCGTTCAACGCTCGGTAATCTATGCAGAACCTAACGCTTCCGTCCTTCTTCCGGACATCCACCACCGGAAAACCCCACGCTCCTTCGCCCTGCTCAATCACCCCTTGCTCCAGCATGTCGTTCACCTCCTTGTCGATAAGTTCGTTCTCTGAGACCGCGTGTCGTCGCCGCCGCATCATGATCGGGGCTGCGTCACCCGTGTTGATGTGATGCTCCACGCCCACCCTAGCCAAAGGCGGACATCCTGGTTCCTTTGCCACAATGTCGGCGTACTGTCTTAGCAGCACAACCACCAACTCCTTGTCTGCAGGCTCCATCTCCCCGATGTCGAGTTTCTCTTCATCCTGCAGCGGTGCAGCGTCTTCCTTCTTCAACGTAGCAACCCATTGCGCCACACGTTCTCTCTCAAGTTCAGTAACTGCATGTCGTCCGTCACAGGAATCCACATACCCAGGGCTTCTCGTGCAGGCAATTTCTCTCGTCGTCCTTCGACATTCATCACCGAGACCCTCACCATGCCGTTCTTCACAGTGTCCACGGTAGGTGCCATTAGCAGATGCCGCTTCGTCGTAGGTTTCGGTACGAAGATGCCCACAGTGCCGTCGTCAGCGTCTACCTGCACGCTCACCACATTGCTCGTGCCCGTGTTCAACTTCCGCGTCCGCGCCATCCTCACCACCACCTTCTTCGACTGGTCAGGTTGTAGCAAGGTCGTCACTCCATGACATGTGAAGGGCAAGATCACCTTCGTTCCATGCTTGTCCACGTACTTCAGCTCTCGACTACCGAAGTCCATCTTGATCTGATGCTTCAGCATCCAATCCTCGCCGATCAGGAACTCGTCGCCTTGGCCTTCAACCAGTAGCGCGTCTACGACGATCCTCTGCTGGTACCGTGTTGTCCCCGAGAATCGCCAAACTCCCAGCACCTTGTTGATGCCACCCCCGAAGCCTTCCACGATGTCTACTGGGGCTTCTCGCGTAATGCACCTCCCGTACCTCCGTAAGGCGGCACCGGCCACATTGAACTGCGCACAGCTGTCCAGCCGAGCTTCCTGCGTGTGTCTCTTTGAAAATGCCAGCAACGCCGTTGGTAAAGAGCTTGGATTGCCACTTCCGATCGCTCGTAGCTGCGCGACACGTACTTGTCGCCCGTCACCTTTGTCTCGTAGCTCGACATCTCCATAGCAGCCTTGCAGGACGTACTTGTACCGCGGTTTGACTGGCCGACTACCTCGCTTCCGCCCGTCACGTCCTCGACCTTCATTCTGCAGTTGTGTTTCTCGTCGCTGTTGCAGTCGCCACCTTCTGTTTGCCGCCCGGAACCTCTTGGCCGCCTTAAGTGCCCTTCTTCGGACTGCCCGCATCTCAGTCAATGACCCAAGTCCTGGTAGCTCCTTCGGGACGTTTTCTTCGTAGCGCGCTACCTCCTCCATCCACGCACCCTCGGTGAGTTCTTCCGGTCGTGACTGCACCGCGCTCGTTCGTATCTGCCGTTCTTCTTCCGCTTTCCGTACCGCCGTTGCCGCCAGATGGGCCTCCCTACGACTCTTCCGCTGCTGCTGGATATCCGCTCGTTCGCGAAACTCACTGATCAACTGTTTCACTTGTACTCGGAGCACAGTAGCTCGTTCTTCACGTCTTATCCTCAACTCTGCAGCCAGTACGCCGTGCATCGCTGCAACCTCTTCCTCGGCTTGCCGTCGTTTCGCCGCGGCTGTTCTGCCGTTGCTCAACGGCAAGGCCTGCCGAATCACTGCTCTTGGAATCACCGTCTTTTGCTCGACAGCTTTCTTGCCGCCCTTATTCCCCTCAACTGCTGGCACAGATTCTCCTACCATCCGTTCGCCGGCGACCGATCCTGGTTCTGCCACCACCGTTGAGGCCACTGGTTCCGCTGCTGACTCTCCCTCCTTGCGCTTCCTTTCCGTATCGCTCTCGTTCTGCGCGCCGCACTCGCCCACTTCCGCACTCGACTTCTCATCGCCAGGACCACCACTCTTCCCCTGCTTTTGGCCACCGGAGTCGCTGTTTTTTTCCTGGACCCGACCGCTCTCCGTATCCGCACCGCCACCACTCCCTCTCAATGCCACCCAACGTCTCTTCCTCCTCGCGTTCTTCCGCCCCGTTCGCGTCAGGACACCGCTTTGACCTCCCTCCTCTGCGGGGTGTTCGTCAATAGCGAACAGTAGAGTCCCCACCTCTACTGTCGCTGGCCATTTCCCGGATTCGCCGCGGTTGCACCAGCTGGGGTGTCTCCCGTACTTGAACCCGTAACATTGGCCCGGACTGGTTGCTGCTGTTGCTGTGGGGCTCCTTGTTCGCCAAGCTCCGCGGTGTCGAATTTTCTGTACTAATCCTGTCCTAAATGTCCTACAAAATCCTAAAAAACGTCGTAAATTACTGGAATAGATTGCAAAATGTATCCTAAAAGTGTTCTAAATCCCGAAATATATTCGAATCCTAATACTGTCCAAAACTAAAAACCGGTATTTTAGACGGAAGTT